AAGTGAGCATCTGATGCTTGGCTGCAGAACCTCCCATAGAACAGGAAGGCAGGGGAAGAGAGAAAGGACACCTTAATGTGCCTTCACCATATGCTGTTAGCTACTGATGGATGCTGCTCTCCCCAGGCACTGGAACAACTTATCGCGTTTGCTGGTGACACTGCCGCCACTGATAAAGTTAAAGATAAGCCATCTGTTCGTAACAGCAGCCCAGCTTCACTTGCAGGGATTTGTGCTTCCAAGTGTATACGAATGCGTGTGGCGTGTCTGCCTAAATTGCTGTTGCACAACACCCTTAAAGCATGTACGTAGCATGGGTAGGCGTATGGGCTATCATCTGCCATGATGAGTGAAAATTATGAAAATATCCAAAATTGCCTATCAAAAATAAGAGACAAGGAGTGACATGCTTTGCTAATATAATACAATGGAAGCAGATTTCTCAGACGCAGTTGTAAAAGTGAACACTTCACTTCAATTTGTCACTCAAGTCTAATTACTGTAGAATGTATGCAGAGTCACGCTAACAAGCTATCAGTCACATTTCTTATTAACAACTTACACAGCAGTAGTTGGTCTTAAAAAAAAAATAGGGGGAAAAAAAATCAACATACAGCAACTTTAAGCTCCCTCAAGAGCTTTTGATAATGCCAGGAGGCTTTTGACACACGCTTGAGAAACTCACCATTAGCGAAATGGCCCATTACCCAGAGGGCACAGCTAAAAGAAAGAAAGCGCTAACATTAAGACCCTCCACAGGAACAAGCTATGGTCCTTCTCTAATGGTTTGGGGTTATGACTGCTCGCTTGCTCTCAATACAAGCATTCCTATGAGGGCTGTGAACCCAAGATCATTGCCATAAAATATATTCTGGTACATACACCTTTGACTTATGTTTCCCCCTCTTTAGACAGCACCACTATACACAAAACAAAATTATAGATAATGCACATAATTATCAAAAAACATATTATATATTCTAATAAAGTGTTTGTTCTTGATATTTTGAACTGTATATAACAGCATTTTCCAGGGCATAAGAAACCCAGATGGAGGCTTGAAAGTGTTGTATTGTCCATGAATAGCATTGTTCTTGTCCTCTGAGAGATGAATAAAACCAAAACCATTTCAGAAGAAACCACTCCTGAGTATTACAAAGCTACCAGTGCTTTGGATACTGTCCGGGCTGGGCTTTTATAATTTTTTTAACCAAGCACAGATCTACTTTTAGACTTCAACAGCGTAATGGTATTTACTTAACTAAGCAGCCAGCCATCACTCTCTTCTCTGCCAGTGTCATATCACTGATCAAGTGTGGCTCAGTTCCTGTCTGAGAGGAGGGCTGCCAGACATAATGCAATAATAACTGGTGCACAGCTTGTCTAAGAGAACCAAGGTCCTATTTCATCGCTGACGATACTGAGATGAACTCTTTGTGCTCTTTCTCTCGCATTCCCCCTCTCCTCACCAACTCTGAACCCCTTGAGCATCCGAAAGCATAATGAGCCAATTGTAATTCCTCGCCTATAGCTTTGTATTGAAGAGTGTATGAAAAAAAAATATTGGACTTTTTTTTTTTACTCCAAGTCAAAAGACTTGCCTTCAAGGATTATCTTAAGGCAGAAACATGCTTTAGACTTTGAATTATTCTATGACAGGACAAACACAACTGCCTGTACCAAAATGTAAGGGAGAGATAAGAGACTTTGCAGAGGAAGGTATCTGAAAATCCCCACACAAAGTGTAAAACATAAATTCAGATCTTTATCTCTTTTCTCACATCAGCAGCACAGCGGAATCCGGCTGCAAATTGTGTTAATTAATAGCTACTGAATGCCTGGAAATAGGCATCACCTTTGAGTTAAAAGGAGAAGGCCATTCCACTGAACTTACTGACTGCATCTGCAATGGCCACTGCCGTCATATGATAAAAATCTTTAAAGCGTCCATTATGTAGACATTATTTAAAGCTTTTACTGTTACAGGTGGCTTTAACATAATGTGAATTGCTGACCTTGAAAGAAGGTAAATGCATCAACTAGATGTGATACGTTAAAAATCTAACAGCTTTTAGTCTCGACAAAGAGCACTCCTCTTATCCGACATAGTGGACGTGAACCTGCGCTGCTCCCCCACAGATGCCTAGTGTGATGTTTGACAGATTTCTCCCTCTCCAGCTAGGCTCACAGTAAATGTCCATCTGGCAGCTTCCCATGGGTACTTATTATTCTCAGCTAGCCAGGGGTTTTCTGTTTCCGAGCAGTCAGCCAGTGCCTGCCTCAAAGAGTTGAGAGTCGGACCAGAACTGCTTGCAGATGCTCTGCCGGGTAGCCAAACTGTGTTAGTGTAGTGGCATGGCACTGGGTTTTCAATTACACAATGAGGTGGCAGTCTCCCAAAACTGTCCAAGTACGGAAAGTCGAGTGCATTGAGAGCAACTATGTATCTGAGACAAATCACCAGCCGAGTAATAGTAACATTAAGGTATGCCAGTTTTCTCATTTGTCCAGTGCACTTGCTCCACTTTGGAGATGAGATGATTGATTTTCCCCTAATGAACAGATGCTCAGAGCCATGGGTAGCACTGAAAGGTCCTGCTGTCCTGATCTGAAGCCCTGCTATGGTGGATTCAATCATGCAGTTGACCTCTATCACACTCCTGCACCCTGCTGAGTGTCTCTAGAAACAAAACATGGGATGCTACACTCGTCATGGCATGCAGCAGCAAGGGTCGTTTTCACACTGTGTTCGTTTGTTTCAACCATAGTTCAGTTGTTCATCATTTCACTAAGCCTGCTGGTCAGCTGTCAGCCTTGTTTACTACTGATACAATCCATTGTCCTCGCATGATTAGCACCATTTTGACATGTGGAAAAATTAAGAACAATGTGCATCCAGTGGGAAAGCCTCGTGAATACAACTGAAGAGAGCATGATATAGGTAGGCCAAAAGGAAGTTAAAAACCCACCCCCCATCAACTCCCTTCCTAGATCAAAGGAAGTATACTACAGGAGTTCATCTGATCTGAGACCAACTGTTTTAGTTGACTGTTTAAGTTAGGGGCGGCTGTGGCGCAGAGGCAGAGCGTGTCGTGGCGCAGAGGCAGAGCGTGTCGTCCCCTAAAGGTTTGATCCCCGTCTCCTTGTGCCCACATGTCCCGAAGTAAAACTTGTAGGGCTGCAACGATTCGCTCGAGGTAACTTGAGTACAAAGAAAATTATCGAGGAATTTCCGTCTGCCGTCGAAGCCCTCGATGTTAAATTATGAATTTAGAGCTCAACGTTTCACACCGGATTCTTTTTAGTGTCGAAGCACAACAGTGCTATACGTTGCAACAGGCTGAATGCGTCGCCCTACCAAGCGCGAAAAGAAGACGGAAGCGGGCGCTTCTTGGCCTAAGGTGTCGATGGGATTCGTGGATGCGCGGGTCCCAGGTTTTTTCCCCAAAACCCGCGGGTCCCCCGGCATTTATTTAATTAATTTGACCCGCTCCCAAGGAGCAATCCAATTCATCCCGCCGCACAAGCCGCATCTATTTCACAACCCGCCCCCCCGCCGCTATTAAATTAAAAAAAAGTTAAATAGCGCTCTATTTGGTCCCTGACCCAAATGTGCTTGAAAAGCCCTTGTGAGTGGCCAACTGGGAAAACTGGCCAACAACCAAATTCAAATCCCTTAATAAAAATACACATAAATAAATCATAAAATAAACATAAAATTAGAGCTTGCATTTGTGTGAGTCATCTATTTGGGCAAATAAAAGGAATCAAAAAACATATTAAACAAACCACATACGGCTAAAACCAAGAGCGCTCCACCTTTGAAATTTCCTGACCCCTGAAAACGGTTTACCACTGTTGGCATATATGGTCATACCATAAATAAATGCTCAATATTTCATTAAAGGAAACAAAATTGTTTGTTATATTATTATGATATGTTTGTTTCTATTGTATATTTAATTGAGCCTTTGAATTAAGCAAAAGTATGTTTTCATCCGATCTACGATTGAATCCGATGGGAATATTGCGATAGAACATACTCGAATTACCAAAATAATTCGATAGCCTGCAGCCCTTAAATCTTGAGCAGATACCCTGAACCGCCGAATTGCTCCCGAATGCTGGTGGATTGGTGTGTGAACTGTGTTATGAATGAGTTAGCTTTCTGTTTGTGGGCCCCGGCCATCCAACATCTAGTGAATGTGTGTGAGAAGGTGAATGTGGCACGTAGTGTAAAAGCACTTTGAGTGGTCGGAAGATTAGAAAGGCACTATACAAGTACAGCTCTTTACCATTACCAAGTTTTTAGGCAAACTGCTTGTGGATTTGGACTGCTGGTGTGAAAGTGCCTTACGTCTCTTGAGCCTGAAGAAGAGGGAAGTTGGAGTGTAAGATAATGTGCCGTGCTATTGCATTTAACCATAAAATGAAGAGTATGAAGTGACAAAAGATTAGAAGGTCCCCGAAAGAGCTTTGTTAAGTTCTCCCCTGAGAACAGGGCATCCAAGGCTATGACACTGTCGGTGTTCACAGTACCAGGGGTTTCATGTTGACATGTGGAGTTGGGGACAGTGGAAAAGTTCACAGCATAGCATATAAGATATTTCCACACACTCACCACAGTGTGGAAACAGACACCATCCGTGCTATGCTTGTTTAAGTCAACACTGCCGGCGTATTCTTTGAACAATCTGGGCCATTTGATTCTCATTTGAATAAAATTCAAATTGAAGGCGCAGAACACACAATCCGCTTGCCAGTAAAAGCCACCATTGTGTGTTATCATGCACACATGTGGTAAAATGGGATGAGTGAGGATTGCAGAGCATTGCATACCTTACTGAGCAAACAGCAGCATCTTGGTGCTGCTTCGACTCCTCCCCCATCTAGCTCTCTTCCATATTTATGCATTCACATCACTCCCAAAGACACATGACAACTCAAACATGACTCCCACTCTTGAGAAACAGTACTATGAAAAATGAAATGAGTCTTACCTAGTGTGGAATAGTTGGTCACATCTGTAAGCGGGCCATTGGGGAAAAGAGGGAGAAGGGGAAGGGGGAAATGAGAGGGAGGAAGAGAGGGAGAAGAGAAACGTCAGCAAATTACAATGTACAGCAAGCTAAACTTCAATTCAGGCTGAGGCTGTCACTAGCTCCTCTGAAAAATGATGGTGTCCCAGTATTGCATAGACTGGGGGTTAAGAATAGTCCCTGTCAAGAGGGGGACATCATTTATTAATCGAGGGACATGAAACGTCTGAGATGGTCTCCCCCGAGGATCCAAAGTTTGCACAACTTGCATTAATATTTGTCAGTGTTTCAAGATTTTGAGGGTGGAGGCAGAGAGGATGCAAGCAGAAACCTCATCTATTACCGACAAATCGTTGCCTTTTTTTTTTTGCACCAGTATAACATAAACGCCGAACAAACAAATGTGCTCACACAAACATGCACCAAGGTGTTCCCCTCTCTCCATATGTCTCTGAGGTAATTTAGTAGCCCTCAGATATCTCTCACCCTGTGTGCTACGACCTTTGCTACATTTCCCCAAGCTTGTTAGTTTGACAGCCCACGTCCAAGGTTCCAACGGCATAATAAAATGACAGTCCCGCACTACCCACAAAGACCTTAGAGTGGCCCCGGCAGAAACAGTGAACTAGTGCGGTAAAAAAAGCAACATTTAGCCACATTTTCACGGTGTCACTGCTACCTGACATTCATACCTCCAAAGATTTATAAAAAAGGATAAAATAAGACCTGCACTCCTCCACTTTCCTTCACCAACTCCGGCAGCTGGAAAAATATGTACTGGATTTCGATTACAGCACACTTTTTTCACAATTAAAGTGGTCCCTCTACGAATGTACTCTTCTAAAGTACAGTTTTGCTTTCTTGTAAATGTGCAATAAAACAAGGAAATTGAGTGAACTGACAATAACTGGGTGTACTGTGAGGGAAATACTAGACTCAGGACTAATTCTGAGTTGCCATTGCTTACAGTGCAGTCTAGTTGTGTTGCTAAGCAGAATTTGCCAGTAATATGATTTATCACCACTGATGTCTATCCCCCTGAATTCATTTACATCTTTGGTGTGCATGCAACAAATCCCAAGGGGATCAACGATGGAGGAATGTGATTACAATATCTATTTTGCACGTGAAAACAAATCTATTTTCAGGAAGAGGGGGAAAGACTGGGGTTCAATCTCTGGAATGCTCATTACCATTCTGTCTGACACACATTCACACTCTGTTGTTGCTAAACAGAGAACTCAGCTGAGGACCTTGAAGCTTCATACCGGGAAAATTGGACCCAGGGGAGGGGGTGGCAGGGACTGATGTCAGACTTCAAGAGGCACTAGAAGCACCTGGGGTTTCAATGACATTAGCATCAGTGCTGTTTGGTAGAGAGAGTGAGAGGCCGAGACACTTGAAGGAACAGCAATGAAAGATAACAGTGTAAATGGCAAGGAGACGAGTGGGATATGGCAAAATTTTAAATGTGCTGCATTATGGCATAAAGTGTTAATATCAGAGAACCATAGACTACCAAATAAGAAAGGCGAATAACCTGCAGTACTCTGAACAATTCTGTATTTCTCTCCTTCTAATCACATTTTGTGTTTCTAAAAGAAGGACTTTTTGCAGTGCAGTGACGATTATTGATTTTCTGAATCCTATGGTGGAAATTTGGAAGCCTGGCCAATCAAAACCAGTGAAGGTAGCATTGGGCCTAAGTGGATTAGACTAGTGGGAATGGTGGTGGGGCAATCTAGAGGGAGAAACCAAAGCTCTGGTGGCTTCAATAAACCCACTCCGTGAACCAGGAAAAAGACGGAAGACGGAGACACTTTTTTCACCCTCTCTCACCCTCCTGTTTTAAGCAGATAAGCTGCTTCCAGGGTCTTAGTTATGCTGTGCAGAACCCACAACACGATATGGAAACTTTTGACAAGGCAAAGAAAAGCTGAGAAGTCCGTTCCTCATGTTTTCTTTTCTCTATTGACAAGAGGGATTTGGTGATGTTTGGAGTGGTCAGTGCTGGGGGGAATTACTAAAAAGCCTGTGATGCGACATAGTGAGCATGTCACTGCTCAGACATGGGTTTTAGTGAAGGCATGGACTCAATTTTGTAAAGTTTTGCTTTGACTAGCCGTTTCAATAAGGCATAAATGTCTATTCTACGATGAGTTACTTGCAGCTAGACCATGAACCTTTTTTCCTTCAAAGACAACAGGGGTTTTTGTCTTGGATGTGATGTGTTTTACTAGGCAATATTACCTTGATATTCCCATTGCTCACCATGTGCCAAAATAGACTGAAGAAGCAGTACAGTGGAATGTTTCCAGAGTTCATAAGACACTACACTTCTAACACATAGATTGCTTCCTATGTAGTCACATTTTTTATCTAAAAACAAGTTGCACATGTACCCAGCTGATCAACTTAGATGATGGGGAAAAAAGGTAACTTCAGTCTATGCAGCCTATAATTTGAAAGCTGCTGTCATGTTAAAACTGTCATGTAACCGTCTGCAGCTCATCTTGTTAAATGTTTCAACATATTTGTTACTTAGAGAATGTACTCGTGACTTTTCACCATAGAGATGTTGATGTGTAAAGAAAACATGGTGACAGAGATTACACTTTGTCTCGGAATGTGGATTAAATTTAAGGAGACATCATCTGCCCTTGGTGGGATATTTGCAGTGCTGTATATTTAGTCCTCTGAGACTTTGCGGCTCTTGGACAAGGACATCAGTTCCCTCAAGGGAGATTCCTTTTGACAAAAACAGTCTTGACTTTCCACATTCATCACGTAACAGTCAGTGCACCACTATGGAGACAACACTGCATTTTAAAGGCAGTCAGTGGTGGTCAGAGTGGTTTGGTCCGTCAAAGCCACACCTACGACAACTACCGACAAAGCCCCTTTGCACCGCTTCTGTATTCCTTTTGTGCTTAAATATGTGATCTCTATGTGCTCTATGTGATCTCCACAATTGCTAAAATTATGATAATGATTAAAATGATTCTCAGTTGTAATGATTAAAAAAAGGTACAATGGTGAGGTTGATATCTGATAATGAAGACTTCGCCCATAATTTTCAGGTTTTCTATGCAGTGGTCACAAATCATGAATTATCACTCAAATAATTCCCCATCTTTTGATCTGGCCTTAAATGTCCATAAAGATTATGACTTTTATCTCACATAAATGACCACAGTATATCTTTGAGAGTTTGATAGGGTTCTTGATTTACTAGTGGCTCTTTTATTCCCTGGCAGCCACTGGAAATTCTTTCAAAACCTTCCTTGCCCATAAACTGTTTCAGACTACCTTCACCCACCCCTCTAATTTTCAGCTCCTCAGAGACGGAGGTCTGAAGGTGATCACCGAAATTTCGCTCTGAGGTCAGTTGAGGGAACAGAGAAAGCTGTATTATTCTGCGTTTGATTAGTATCTTAAGTAGCTCTTATCTTTTCTTTCATTCTAAATATCTCTTTCCCTCATTATCTAAAAGTGTCTTTTTGCTAGGCACTTCTCTAGTTTAATAAGGAAATGTACTATAAAATCTGACATTTATGGTTCAGTGTATTATCCAAAGCATGCATATTTCAATGTGCTGTTAAACACTTGATTTATAAGTGCACTTACAGCCCACATACAGTATACTGGTATTGAATACCTTGTAAATGTTCAAATTGAAGTACGCCAAGCTTTTTCCCCTGTGAAAGTATACTAGACTAAGTAGACTAAACTTTGCTACCTTATGTTATTCAATAAAACCAATTATTGACTTTAAAATGTATATACTTCTTTTTGTGGGGCCAAAGCAAACACAAAGATCAGTTTAATAAATGATAGAGCAGCCTAGGATAGTATACAAGCCTATATATCAAGGTATTATTATATATGCTTGTTGGTAAGAGATTATAAGAAAAACCTCCATGGTGGAAGCATGAATTTGAATAAAGATAATTATACAAAAAAAAGATATAGCAGCCTACATTCAAGATGGCACAAGCTGCAAAGAACTCTAACTAGCCGTATGCACTCAACCGAGCCACTGCAGTGGGAATTTATTCTCTTTCTTCTAGTTCTACGGTGTTCTTTTCAGATTAATTTCAGTTAATCAGCGGGTCGGCCATTTTTTTGCTTTTGCTAAGTCTTTTTCTTTCTCAGTGGCACATGGAAGCTTGTCAATGAACGCACACACACAACGAGAAAGAGAGAGCGAGAGAGGGAGTTCTGTCTCTAAAATGGCTGCAGGACTGAGTGGCCACTAATTGGAAATCAAAAGCAATGGAGCTGGAAGGCAGCCGAGAAGGAACAGTGGAACCTCCAGCGCCTGTTGTCGGTCAATTTAGACCGTGACAAAAAAGGCCCTGTTCCTTGTGTCGCCATTTAACCTATTCACCAGTGTGGAATGGGAGCAGCTGTTTTTTTACAGTACCACATAATGGGACAAAATGGCTCTGGCTGGCCTAGCTCCAGCTTGCTGCAAAAAGGCCTCAATGTAGAAAGAAAGGGGGAGAAGGTGTGAAACAGACATTGCAGAAGAGAGAACAGTGCCGCCATGTTATCAATGATACTGAGAGAGCTTACACCCTTCCATCTGAGCTGATATAAACATTACTTCTTTTTTCTGTTGCAACAAAGAATTAGAGAAGCACTGACAGAGGCTACAGATGGCCTGGGCACACACAGACTGCAGAAGTATCTAGAAGTTTACACAAGTCAGACGAGGAGCCAGATTGGCTCCAAAACTAAGGCTGTTCTTTGAGTAAAAAAAATATTGCTCACTTGTTTTTAATCTCTCTTCAAGTCGAGGTGTGAATAAGTACTTTGTGAGTGACAGCCTGATGAGCGCAGTTATGGAAACTCCAAACTTCATCAAGCGGTTGTCAGACTTAGCGCTGTCCAGTTTAAAGGCCGCTCAGGCATGACAGTATGGGAACGAGGTATGCTTATGTTAGCACTGCAGCAGATGTTCTGTTCCTGTTGCAGCTGTC